CGCCACATTGGTCTGCAGTTATGAGCCGAGCAAACACCCACAGCACTGCAATATTGCACCGGCACATTCACAGGACGGATTGGTGCACACAAAGCAATTAGCAGCTCATATATATATGCGTAATTGTATCTCTGTGTGTGTGTGTATGAGTCAACTCCCACGTCTGGTTCTGTAATTTCTACATCCGGTGTTATTAGCAAACAGTTCATTGTGAATTGCAATTTGTTTGTTTGTGCTCATCCCCCCTTATCTTTAAGAAAATCCTTTCAGAATGGAGGATTCTCCTGACATCCTATGTAAAGCAAGTACAGTGTCAAAGCAAAACCACGTCCACCGTCACTGCTGCATTGTTAGAGTAAATCGTTTTATGAGCTTTAACTCACTCGGACACAAAGAGAAACGAGACAAAGTGAGCACAGAGAAGACGAATCTCTCAACGCTGTCAGTGTCTGAGGTGCTCCGGCCATCCATCCTCCATCGCTCCTTTCGTCTCCATGTCTGGCCCCATCCCACCTGTATGACACGCAATCACTCTTCATCCCTCTATCCATCCATTATCCCTGTCACTTCATCCTTCCATTTTTCTGCCCCAAGGCCTGAGCTCCCCCTCTCTTGTCACAGATGATACCATCTGAGTGGATTACTTGGGATATCATGAGGGATATGTTCGGTCAAATATATCCTCATAAAGGTTATCATGTGCTTTTATCAATGCAGCATTGGGCACGTGGTTGGCTCTTCCCTTTTTAATGAAACACAGTTTATAAAGTGTTTAAAGCTTCTAGCTACTCACTTTATTAACACAACTAAAATCAGTTATGATAAATAATTGATTAATCATTAAAAGGGGTATGGGTTTATTTTAATAAGCCATTGATTAGAGATTAGTAAGTAATTAACATGGGTATTTTTCAAGTACAGTATCAAGGCTATTAGGTTAGTTTTAATACATATTTTGATATTTTTGCCCTGAACTCTTTCACAACAGAAACATTTAGAAGATACTAAAAGCAGATGTAAAATATTTTTTTGCTGAAGGATTGACCCCAGGTTAATGGAATCCAAGAGTAGTCCTTATCACTGTCTAATTACTTATATTTTTTAGCATAAACAAATGTAATTTTCAACCATTATTACAGCTTTACAATAAAAATATATAAGGTATGCTTCATTAGATTGAGACACATTATATAGGAGCAACAGACTAGCAGTTTTTAGTGAAAACGCTCTGATCAACCCACTGTACTCGACCTGCTGATCATCAAACGGCAGACAGACCAAGTTAGGGAGTCGTTGATGAACATAGTGGAGCATTTAGCAGATAAAGAGTCACATAATTCCCCCGGGAGTTGGTGGACAACAAACAGAACTAATAGAAGATCATTGCAATTCGTCACTGTGTAAACTCGTTTGCCACAACAACTTTAAGGTGACTCTTTGTCAATGTTGTCTTTAGAGCTGGTGCTGCTTCCAACTGGCCAAGAACATTTCATTAATGCAAGTTCAATAGATCCAGATGCTTTAAGGCCTATTATAAATACAATCATGCTACAAGTGTTCATTAAAGAATGTACAAGTTTACAGTTAAAAAGACAACCCAAGTGTTGTCCTTATTAATGTCTTCCTTTTGATCTAAAAAACATTCATTACAAACCATTAATACGACATGAGATACAACTTATGCCTCATTAAAAAAGATAAGTTTTACATGATACTTTAAATGTGATGATTTTTAATACCCACAAATGAAGCATTAAAGGTGGGGTAGGTAAGTTTGAGAAACCGGCTCGAGATCGCTAGAATTTGAAAATACACAGCCGGAAAAAATCTGCCTCTTCCTTCAGACTTCCTTACAGAGCCCCTCCTCCAACACACACGAACGCGCACATGACCAATGAGGGCACGAGATAAGTTTGTGCACAGATGGAAGGCTGACAGGCAGGTAGGCCATCCAGTTATTTTAGCCGGGCCGGCTAAAATGATTGGTCGTGCTTTTTACAGTACCACAGCTTCCACAGATGAAATTGTTTATGTATTTATTGTCAAAGCATTTAATATATTCATTGCTATCGGGATGTTAAGAGCATTCCATGGAATATAATAAAAAGTGTTTCTGAAATAAATTACATACCCCACCTTTAAGTAAACTGATCAATTAAAAATCATGCAAACCTAATATATAATAATGATACACAACGGTTTTCCCATTAAATCACAACTGATTTCCCAGAAAACCTAAGTATGATTAACACTAAAAGATACCAAGAACGGAAGAAATAATGAAAATAAGAGAGTAGAAAGCATACACGGAAAACTAAACATCTCCCATTGGCAAACCAAGAGTTGTTGGGAAAGGGTTTCACTGTAGAGCATTGAAAAGGAGAATAAGGTCAAAGTGTTGGTGAGGTCATCATGCTGCCATCTTCTGAGGACATAAGACATCGAAAAACCTCAGGGCCTTGGGTGAAATGACTAACATACATCCGTAGAGATGCTTGAATTTGATACAATATGTGGTGTATACATAAAAAGAGTAGATAGGCCCCTGAACCCACAACCCCCAAACAATCCAACTCCCACCGTCCACTCTCCTCCTTGCCTCCCTCCCTCCCCCTGCCGGGCAGTTTAGACCAGAAGGCATCAATCCCCACCCCGGGTTTTACTCCTGTTTAGTGATGGCGGGCTGACACAGACGCAGAGCTTGTCGCAGGCTTTCACAGCATTGACCTGCCACGCCTCGCTCTACTTCCGCCTATAAAAAGAGGAGTGAATGATGGGGAGGCGAGGAGGAGGCACAAGAAGGAGGGGAGGGAGTGACAGACTCATACAGCATGCATAACAACTTAGTACGCCTCTCCACATGCATCGCTCCATCTATCTCCCCCTGACGGTCTCATCTAAGGCCAATGGAGACACACACATACACACACACACACACACATATTTACAAAGACACAGAAGGTTGGCGGCAAGCTGCTACACAAGCTGACTATCAAAGCCAGAAAAAATAAATCACACACTGATGTTTCAAATTCCTGCTCATCTGAGGAAGGTCACACTGGCAGGCCCGACTGCAGTTAACAAAGCCTCTTCCTATCTCAGGGACATTTGGGGAAAAAAGCACATGGGGCCTACACGAATGCCCATTCGTAGAGCGCATATGTCTGCCATATCACACACTTTTTTAGTTTGACACACATCGACCTTTAAAGGGAAATTCTCAAACTACAAAATATTGCCTGGAAGGCTTGTTTGAGGGGTTCTGGTTACTCTACTGTATGTACATTAAAACCTGTATTATCTACAGATAGTTAATATTCTTCTATAACATCTATCTATCTGTATGAAGCTCATAACATAACAGTTTTTGGTGACACTGTGATATTGGAAGGACACTTTATGGCACTGAAGCTATAATGTAATTTCATTGGATTGTACAGGTGTACCTACTAAAGTGGCCATTTAGTGTACATAGGTTTTGTGATCAGGCTGGGCGATGATGAGAAATGTGTCATTATTATGCCCAGCATATGCCATAATGTTCTATAATGTGACAATATTTTAGGGAGAACTTTATTGTCCATCAGGATCCATCTGGCAGTTCATCCGGTCCATCTGGCAGTTTATTAAAACACACACAAAGCGCGGTACAACACAAAGTGTGGATAAAATACACACAATTAACGCAAAACAAGATGTCAGCTTTTTTTTATATTCCTATACATGACTTTGTGTTTGCTGTTTTAGGTGGTATTCACACACAGGAAATAGTTTTATGTAGAAAATAGCTAGAATATACTATATATTTAGGCTTATGTCCTCAGCTTTGACAACTATTTATTTGAGTAAGCAAATCACAATGATGTGAGGCATTCATTAATCATGAGTAAAGTCCAGGAACATTTACAAATTAGCTTAGACACAATTTAAAACTGCAACCTTAAATATATTGCTCAGGTCTACTTCCTAGTAGTGGTTCAGTCAATGTGCTATAAAGAAGTATGTTACTATGACGGCTGTGCTAATTAAAATAAGTGTAAAAAAAACTATTTTTGTATCGTTGTAACAAAATATTTCCCTATGAAGACAAACAATATTTCACGTTCTTTGTTGAATTAGTTAGCTACTTGAATCAAAATGCCTCAGACTCATGCTGAACCTTGGTTGCGTGCTGTTTTTATCTCACTCTCTCTCCTGTCATTTCTCCTGTTTGATTTCCAATAACGTCATAAAATGCTGCTCAAACAAAATATGTATACATAATAAAATGTATATAGTGCAGCTTGGAAAACATTGATGATGTAATTGTATCATCTGCCCAACTAATACGTGGCTACACTTCTATCATAAGGCTACAGTGTACTGTGTATTACAAACAATGCCTTTCCCTCGGTTTGATAAACGCCAAGACAATGCCAGATATCCCCAAAAGATCGCCAGCGCTGCCTGTTTGATGAGAAGTGATTTGCAGGGCTCAGGGATGAGCTTCCTTAAAGCCCGCTGGGCATCGACTTTGGTCAACACAGAGAAATCCCTGTTAAGATACTGTCCAAGATAAAGTTCCAGCTCTCTGAAGTGATTACAACCCTACTGCTATGGAAGCAAGGCCACAGAGAAGGATTCAAACAGGCCTGTGAGAGAGTCTGGTACCAAACAGCTGGATAAGAGCCTCGTGTTTAGACGAGGTGAGCAGCACGGGCACCGGGGATTGAACTATGATCATGAAAGGATTAAGCTTTAAACGGCTACTTACACTGATCAGGTGGCAAGTTCACAAGTTGACTTACTGTGTATTAATGAGTGAGTAAGTTCTGTCAAAAACTGCATATAAGGGGAAATATTGACAATATCAAGGATGAAGGTTTTTGTATGATGACACATTTTATACATTTTGTGAATTCTTGGAAGATTTGATAACTGTACATCTGTCCAAGAATCTCATCCTTCCCTTATTCATTTCAACATTTTTTTCAGAAGGGTGAAAGAGACACGGTACCAAATGAAAAACATCCATATTTAATAGGATCAGTCAAAGGGAATGTTTTGTGTTAAAAAAGGAGAGTACAAAAATGTTCCTTCATTTAAACAGAGTGCTCTAAAAAAAGAGTAGTACTTTGTTAAAACATGGTTTAAATCCTGAACAATGAGAGTCTTTCACTTTCTGGCTTGTTGATCCTTCTCAGCACAGTTTGGGTTTAAAAAACTCAGCACAATACAAGATGTCATATTTGGCCAGGACTCAGCATTAACTTTGACTTTTGAGAAAGAAGATCAGCTCCTTACGTGACTGACTGTCAGATTATGGTTCTGGCCTTCCAATATGGTAGATAAAGGATATATTGAATATGCCAGGCTTGGATCTTATATAATTCACCTGATCCCCACCGACAGAGATGTTCAGTACCTCCTCTGTGGCTTCAGTCCTGTAAATCTTGTGGCCACCAGGTTGAGGAGCTCCTTACCCACATCCAGCCAAGATCTTGGTTTAGGTGTTGGGTGTCTGCAGATGCTGTAGGAGAAAGAGGACGACTAAGAGTGAGGTTTCCGGTTCAAAAGGACACAGCATGGCATGGTGAGTCTTTCCAACCACTAGGACAGTTTAAGACGTTTCTTGGGGGTCCCAGAGAGGGCCCTGAGTTGAGTGAAAGGCCTCTGCTACCACATGGGGGTGAGAGATCATCATGGACTTCCAGCTGGATGTTTCCCTTGCATCAGCTGCGTGACTGAGAGAAAAAGAGGAGATACAAAGTAGAATAAATAAACTAAATGGACAACTTCACAAATAAACACGTCTTTCAAGAGCTGGGGGTGCTACAGTATGACTCCATCTGTTTGGAGAGCATTTAGGATTTGTCATACCAGCTGGCAGAGCTGTTGTTTACTTTATATTTTTTAATATTTAACCTCAAAGAACATTTTGAGATGAATAACCTCACGAAAAGCAACATTCATATATATATATATATATATATGTGGGCATGTAATGAAAGTATTTTGAATGATTTTGTAAAATATTCTTTAGGGCACTGGGTCCAAATCGATTTCGCATGTGACACTTTCTGACCAGTGCTTACTTGCCAACCCTCTTTACAAAATAAATGGCAAAAATGATGTTCTCTTCGAATATTGTTTTATTTTAAATCATTTTTAATTTCAGAGGAGGCAAAGTTCTACACTATTTCACACCTTTTCAGCAAAAAAGTGTGAGAAAAAGTGAGGAAAATAATAAACATTTTTACTACGTGGTGTTTTACTTGCCTATACAACCTAACAGCTTCAAACTGAACAGCACAGATGATTCTGGTTTATGAGGTGGGTTGGAACAGAAAGTTATATAAAATAAAATAATATTGGATATTTTCAAGACAATGTTTAAAATGTAAAGCTTAACTAATGGAACCCGAAAGCCAAAACAATTTCAGATAAGTCTAGCAATTAATTGCTGAAGAGTATTCCACGTAGCCATCATTGGTCACAGATGCATTTAGACCTGCACACCCTGTGGCTGTCTTCAACCTCCTGACTCCCTCAGGGTGCAGCGCTGCACTATCACGCACACCACTGTGTGGCCTTTAATGACATTTTTCATGGTTTGTTGTGTGTAAATAAACAACAGCATGTGTGTGTGTGTGTGTTTGTGTTCACATGTGTTCGTATCTTGGCATGGTTACTCTTGGCATTTGGAGTGTGTGTGTGTGTGTGTGTGTGTGTGTGTGTGTGTGTGTGTGTGTGTGTGTGTGCGTGCGTGCGTGCGTGCGTGCGTGCGTGCGTGCGTGCGTGCGTGCGTGCGTGCGTGCGTGCGTGCGTGCGTGTTGTTATATGCCGTCCACACAGCAGCTCCAGACCTCCAGCCGACCTCTGACCCTTTCCTCTGTGGAGGAGGTGAACCCCTGCTTACAGTAATGGCTGGTGTGCTGAGGCTGAGGCAGCAGGCCAGGGAAGGGCACGAAGAGAGCAGTCACAGCGGGAGAGGAGGGAGGAGGGGTGAAGCAAGGGAGCAGAGAGTAGGCTAGCAGCGGCGACAAAAAAAAAAGGAGAGGAAGAGTAATGAAAGTCTGCAGAGAGGGAGGGGAGGGGAGGGATAGGGGCCGGGATGGGAAGGTAAATTAAAAAGAGGCCAAACTGTGACCTCCAGTCCGAGGTAATCATAGGGCACACTGGCACTACCATCAACAAAAACACTTCTTTCAGAAAAATCAAATGTGTTCCTGCTTTAAAGACTCACTGCTTTATTAGCACTCATTGAGATCTGTCTATAAGTGGATAAACCCTTTTCTCTAAAAAAGTGGATAAAGAGTGTCTGGGTGGCTTTACTCTCCGCGACGTCCCTGGGGAGGATGAATAAATGAGACAGGGGTAGGATAAAGACAACTCCTATTGTCTGGACTAAATAACTGTAAGCCACTTGTAAAGACTGGTCTGGAAAGAGGTTGGAGGGGCTACTGGGGGGAGGATTATTGGTTCCTCCATGCGCCTGTTTTCTATATTCGTCCTCTAAATTGATTTTTGTTTTGTTGCTCTTGTAGCTGTCCATTGTGTCCGCAGGAGGAGTGTTGATAACGCTTTGCTGGCCAGGGGTCCCTCGTGGCCAATTTCCTCAGTACCACAACAACACTGTGGCAAATTAAACTGTCATAACGCCCATAACCACAATTAATGACTGGGTTTAGGGGCAGAAATCTGCATTACTGAACACCTCTAGGCATACATGAGCTCTTAAGCACAGAGCTGGAGAGGGAGAAAGGGAGACATGGGAAGAGGGTGAAGGGAGGGAACATGGGGGAGTAAATGGAAGAGGGAGGGAGATGGAGCTTGTGCAGGAACGAGGCCAGGAGATGGAGTAAAGCTGCAAAGACAGGGCAGAAGAATGAACAAAGGCGGCATGGAAATGACGTCTGGCTCAGAGATAGAAGATTCAGAAAACAGAGGGGAAGGTGATGAATTTGGGTAGTGAAAGCTTTTTGTTTCAACTTGAAATACTGGATCAATCAACTCTCTGTGGACATAAATAGCAGTCCTTGATGCTAATAGGCCCCGTCTTACCTAAACTGGCTGCCTGCAACATGATTAACAACAATCTAAATGGCCCAATATTATACGGCAGCAAAGTGGTCCGATCTGGGGATTAAATTACATTTCCTCTGGAGAAGAAAATGTCTCCCACTGAAAATGAATGACTTCCTATGACGAAAAGCTAAGTATGTGCATGTGTGAGTAACAGGAGAAAATGATTGCATGAGTGTGGGTGTACTTCTTGAGATAAATGATCTCAGTGTAGGCATGTAGCTCACCAGTTGATGAAGTCCACGGCCTGCATCTTCAGCTGGTCGGCGCTGCAAGGCGGTGAGGATGAGGGTATCTGCGGCTCTCCAGACTCAAACTCGTGCACAGAGCATCCTCGCACATCACTTTCAGCCTCTCCAGAACATACTGCCAATGACAGAGGGAGAGGAGGAACAGCAGGTAAACTAAATTACTTAAACAGCGCTGCCGCAAACAACTGTTGTCACACTGTGTAATGATACGGAAACACAGAATTACTCTACCGTGGCGGCAACAAGACTTAGATTGAATAAGAAGAAAATATGGCGAAGAGGAGGAAAAGGAACAGTTATGCAGACTGATGGTGGGAAAGAGGTTCACCTAAGAGGTAAACAAATATTTCCACTGCGTTTGATATTAAAAAATTGCTAGCTGTAGTCATTTTCTCTCTTATTCTTACGCACTTCAGGATGACTCATGCTGGTTTAGCATAGACCTATATTTAGTGTGGTATATATTAACACTAATGATGTAAATTAGTTACTCCTACTAAATACTACTGGTGCTAGGATGGCTTACATCTAGTAAACAAAGTGTTGTCTGCCAAAATGAAATACCGTTGAAGAAGAAAACCCACATTTGGAACTTCAACCTTGCATTCTTTATTCATGTGTTAAGGCACTAAGTGAATAATACAAATAAATATACAGCTCTGTAAAAAATGAAGAGACCACTGCAAAATGATCAGTTTCTCTGTTTCTACTGTTTATAGGCAGGGCCGTCCCTGGCCAACATGAGGCCCCACGCAAAGTTATATGATGAGGCCCTCTGTTACGCGAGCGTCGACGGGTGCTAGTGGAGCACCCAGCAGTGAAACCGCGCCGCGCCACACTAATTGCGCCGGATAAGCGCATAGGTGCGCCGCATTTTCGGCTCAGTTGAGGCTCCCTCCGCAAGGTGAGGCCCCACGCAGTCTGCTTCATCGGCCTGTAGGGAGGGACGGCCCAGGTATGTGTTTGAGGTTTTTTTATTCTATAAACTACTGAAAACATTTCTCTGTGTGGGAATTCAACAGACGCTGGAATGGAATGGCTGCCATACATGTTGAGATTTAAGAAAAATGTGGAGTGGTCTCTTAATTTTTTCCGGAGCTGTATGTTCATCCTTTTTAGCTTACAACATTCAAATGAGTGACTGCGTAATTTTTTTTTGCAATCAAGTGGCCAAAATGTGGATAAAAAGTGAATCTTCAAACTTTTTTGACAAGATTAAACAAAAAATCAAACATTCTCACAATGTATTATACATATTTTTTGTAATAAGCACAAATCAATCAAGGCTGATGGTAATCTCGCGTTTGCCGTTCTTTGGTCTGAAAGCTAAGCTTTGTTAAACAGTCAGGCGTTCACTAAATCTTTTCACAGATCACAATCATGCTGGTCTGGTTAGAGGGGCAAAGGACAGAGAGAGGAGTGACGCAGGAGGAGGGCTGTGTTCTCTTCAATGAACAGCTTGATACTATTATTAAAGCAAATATAATAAGCTCTCAGAAAAATTCAAGATAATGTGGCTCTACACAAATAGACAGTAATCTTTGAGTATACAGGGCCAGGACAGAAACAAACAATGAGTAATAGGATTCATTGGAGTCTGTTTACCTCTTCCTATACAGTGTGTTTGACCATGTGTATGTGTTCAGGCCTGGAAGAGCACTTGGCGCCTCTCGGGTGTAGTTTGAGGACATGATTATTCATAATAAAGTTGTAACAGGTGCAGGTACGTCATCCACACACTCTCTGTGTACCTTGTCAGCTGCAGCCAGCAGGTCATCGGCCATCTTGTCCAGGTTGGGGGCTTCACCTGTGTAGATGAAGCACATCATCTCTTTGAAGACATCTGGCTCCATGTCATATAACTCCATGTGGTTCTGAATGGGAGGAGAGGACAGGAGAGGATAATTCACAAAGGGTTTAACAAAATAAAAGGAAAGAGAAGGAAAAGACAAAACCATGAGCAGCAGCAGAGCGTTTTTTATTTCATGTAAAAAACCTGATTTAATTTCACAAACTGACCTTGTTTTACACACACAGGGACAGTCAGCCACACAGTGATACAAAACAGCTCATAAAAAGAAGAGGAAAAAAATGAACAACCTTCTGAACAGTCTGAACACGTTTCAGCAAAAACGACATTTATTTAATTATTTTCAGCTGATTCTTGAAAATTAATCCCAACATTCATTCCTTGACGGCGCCTGCAGCCAGCGAAGCAGGCTTTATCACTCGCTGGCACCGTGACGCCAACCTGAACCTTTCCCTCCACACTGAGAGGCAGAACAAAGCAGTAAACCAATTATAACAGTGCTTTATCGTCGCCACGGTGACCGGCGGCGTTTTAGCAGGGTCAGGCTGGGTGTACCAACAGCTTAGTGCGTTTGTGTCAACTCTGACCACTCAACAGCAACATAAACACACAAAGAAATAATGAAGGGAGGGTCTGAAAGCAGCCAGGTTTACTACATGCAGTGTGTGGTGCCTTTTCACATACATAAAGGCATGTGTGCATTCATGCAGCAAAAAAAACAATAACGTGAATCCTCTTCTCACTCCCTAATGCAAATACAATGGCCATATTGTTTTGAAATTAGCCTCAGAAAAAAGAAAAAACACAGTTCCCTTTACAACTTGTGCTTTCTTACTTCGACAGTTTGTACGCAGTCCAGCCATAAAGGAGGAGGCGTGACACACAGAAGATGAAAACTTGAGTAATTTCATTCTGCTGATTTTTTTACAGCAAAGTGTGTTGGAGTGTTGATGAAATTAAAAATGCAAGTCACATGAGAAAAACTAACAGGGCTTCCTCAGTTCTGTGAAGGCGAGCTTCCACCAGTCTCATAAATAGACGACGCTTCTGTAGTTACAGTGTCTGAAGCTCCCCCTTTATTCACAGAGCAGTCCTCTATTAGAGTGTTTCTTTATGAGCTCATTTGTCTCTCCTATATAGAGTGCTGCAGAGGAGTGTTAACCCATCTATCTGTTTTCTGTGAATCGTATGGGGACGTGGCCCCCCGTCTCTCCCTCTTTCTGATGAAGACGCCCACTTAAACAGCAATTAAGATGCATTTCCTGGCTCTGTGCTTTATAATTTCCCCATTCGAGCCGTGCAGGCATCAATATTCCGCTGACATGATGTCTAAATCACCAAGGTTCAATCTCACCACCTCCTACCAGATGAAGACAACCGACTGTGGCGCAAGAGCACAATCACACACGGAAACATGGACACATACTAACAAGAAATATCACAGAGGACACATAACAAATGCCAAGAGGCACACACTGCATGGAGTGTTGAAAGACATGTACAGACAACCACAAATATGTATTTAAAAAATGTAAACTAAATAAACCTCACATCCATAATATCAGCTGCACTCACAGCAATTGAAATTAATTAATATATACAAAACAGGTTTCAGAGAGGTTAGTTAAAAAATGAATGCCGCAGTATTTGACATTAAGGTTAGGAAATTCAACAACTCAAAATATCTAGCACAATTATAAATGAACTGTGGGCAACAAGATGACATTTAATAAAGGTGCCTTGCCTTTGGTTCTGTTTGAAGACACCATTAAGAAATAACTAAGAAGGCAATTGTGTTAAAAAAAAAAAAGCACACACAATGTATGAAATGATTTTGTGTGCCTCTACTGTGACATGTCTCCATGCTTTAATGTTCAAACAAATATTATGTAATCATACTGCCTGTGCTGCAGCACCTCTTTTCACCCTAAGCTGATCACGTAGAATGTGTTGGAGCGCTAGCCAATGGAAGCGCGAGTGTTACATAGTGATGTCACTATGTTCCTGAAGTAAACAAAGGAGTCCAATGAAGAAATTTGAGGCGGGGGGATTTTAGCCTTTGCAGACCTTACATTACATTACATTACATGTCATTTGTTAGACGCTTACATACATTCAGTACTGTGGACAATCCCCACAGGAGCAATTTGGGTGAAGTGTCTTGCCCAGGGACACAACGACATGCTGGCTGCAGTGGGACTCAAACTTGCTACCCCCTGATTCGAAGTCCAGCACACAATCCACTGAGCCACAGCCGCCCCATGAACAAAAACCCTCAACAACAGACCATAGGAAAGGGAAAACCAAAAAAAAGCCAAAAAGGGCCCCTTTAATGCCCAGTCCCATCCAGATGTTTTTTCTAGTGGTTTATTGAATATAATATTGAAGCAGTATGCAATACTGTGCAGATCTAGTGTTACAATGTACAACTTTAGGTGTAAAAAAACACCAGAATTCCATCATAGAACTATTGAGATAATTGTGACAGACTGCAGTTTTTTTCCCTGGTATCGTCTTATTTTGTATAAAACCAGCACATTGAGCCTTCACAATCATTTCAGACGCCATTATCATAAAACAAATTCAACAATAGCTTTAAAGACACCAGATAATTGAGATGTAGTCAACCAGACATGAAGAAACACATGCAAATGTCACAGTTGGATGTTTTGCGAGGTGAACACATCCTGATGCAACAGAGAGAAAGATTAGACATCCGCCTCTCCGCTAAGGGAACAGGAACAAGAGAGTCAAGTGCTCAACTCACCTTCTTACTCTCTTCCATCTCGGTTCAAACATGGCACTGAACACCGGCGAGTGAGCTGAGACAGACAAACAAAAGACACACACAGAGAGGGAGGTTTGTTATTGTGTGTAATGTTGATGCATGCTGAGGTTTCTGATATCCGTTAACAGCCTGCCACAGGGTCAGAGGAGAGCGGGGGGGATGATTGACAGCAGTGACAGCAGAAGAAGCTTCATGTGGAAAAGTCGACAGCAGCTCTGCCGTGCTGACAGACTCATGACGACCTTTGAGGTGTGCTTAGCAAGAGTGTAACGCTGATAGACCGACGACTTGACTGAAGCTTGTTTGATACATTATGCTTGAATTAAGATGCATCTTCCTGGTTTGATAACATGGTCACGTGCTGCCACTCAAAATAGACTATTCTCTAGTAATATATAGGACTGGTAAGGATTATTTAAATAAAAAAAAATCAAACACTTATTTATCTACTATTTTTTTCAAGAGCGATTTTTACCAAGCTTTTATGTCCTTGCAAATCCAAAATATTTCTCTTCCTGCAAAAGGACACTGTTCGCCACAGTCCACAAATCCTTTTGAGTCAAGGACAGTTCAGACATTGTTTTCATTTACAGAAAATCAAGGGTAAAGTTGAGACAAAATGCAAAAGAGCAGCTGATCATCTTCCACAGTCCCTCCGAGTAAAATAAACCCATTGTAGATTTTGCAATGCAAATGATATATTTATAATCCAATTTTCCATTCAGATTTCTTTCATTTTCTTAAATTTAATTTAGCAAATTCAATTTGAACATGAATACATTTAAACCCAGTTACCACAAAGTGCTGTACTGTAAGAGTTGTGACAAATGGAGGATTTAAGTGTTTCTATCACTTCACAGGTGAGACGGCCAATCACTTGTGTGTTTTCTCTCTCACTACTCCAGACATGACCCCATCTGCCAAGGTTATGTTTCATCTTCAGCACAGACCGACCATGCCAGCGGTGTGATCCAACCACAGCACTTCCAATTACGTAAATCAGTCCTACTTCTTTTCTCAAGATCAACTCCTGTATGATAACGCGGCATGAGTAAAATAATCACCACATCTCGTCTCAGTAGTTCTGCTCGAGGCAACAACACTGTATTCTCTCTCTTATCATGGCAGCCGTGACAGCTGTTAGTCTCGACACAGGCTGAGGAGGGCGAACCTCACACATTGTTTGAACTCCGTAACCTATTGGTTGTTTAACAGCGGAGAAACTGTCTCTTATAAATACCTTTAACCTTCACTAAAAAACGAAACATCCAAAATCAACTAGCATTGTGCTCTTCTGTTTGACTTCACTTTGTTTGATAATGTGCTCATTGGGTAACACTTTACATTACTGTTCACTAATGAATGCTTAATTAACTAGTGATTAAAATGTAACAAATGTTTCAACACGTTATTAAGTATGTGTCAAAGTCAGTAATATGTTAATTAATTTAAGTACTTAATAATGAGTTATCAACCTCAGAGCTAGCTACCCATTTAATGACTCATTTGGAAACGTGGTGTCATCCATCAACTCGGAACGAGACACAAATAAGGAGAATACAGATAATATCAGTAAAGCGAGGGCCTAAAAGTGGATCAATAAGGTAACAATGGGACATAGCTTCTTTGATATGAACTAATATCATCTATAATTAAAACAGTAACCAACACCAGCCCCCAAAGCACTCAACTCAACGCATTCAAGGTGTGTTTCAGATATAATCCAGGGTCAGAAAAACGTCCAAGGTCAGGCCAGAAACAAACGCTCTGGGTTAACCCACAACCTATATTTTAATAGCCAAAACACAGAGATTGACTTTTTTATTAATGTTTTCCGATAAATCTATTGAGTTGTCATGGTGAGAAGGGTCTGCGTTGCTTTTATCATGAGATAAGATGTGACAAGACATGTGACAAACCATTTCTCAGTCAGTGTCAGAGGGAGCAGGTTAATGCTCTCCCTCCCAGCAGCTGGACCATTATAGAAGCTCAAAAGTGGAATGGGTGGTAACTAACTATTAAAAGATGAGGGTTGTTTAAGGGATTAGTGAAATAGATACAAGGCATTTTAGTATCCCTTCTGCTTTGTCTGCAGAGGTCATTTGTTTGTTTATTTTACACAGGAGGTGAAAAGATCTGTCCGGACAGCTTAAGCAACTTAAGGTTTTGGACAAATCCACCAATGATGAGAATGTTGCTGTAAGAAAACATGGTCTACAAGATAGAGAACCAAAAAAGGGAGTATGTGCAGTGTCAAAGACAACATGCCAAAGATTCTTGGTGCTTTGCCATGTCTTACAATTATATGGCAGGCCAAAGTATCTTGGATCATGATTTTCCTACTAATGCTTTTGTCCCAGATCAGGTAGGGTCAACATCCGACAAAGCTCCCAAAAAAAGTGAGTGTAGTCGCCAGTGAATAACATGCATTCTGGATAGCATACTTAGCACTCAATGGGCAGGTGGGACTGTGGGGACAAACCTACAGTAAGTGTGTCTGGTGCAGCTCAATACTGGTGAGCTCATACTGCAGCAACAAAGGGAAGGGGCGGGCGAGAGAGACAGAGACAGAGAGAGAGGGTCATAGAAAGTAAATGTAGGGAGAGAGAGAGAAAGTCAGGAATTGGCAGTAAAGGGAACTGAGAAAAGAGATGAAGCAGAAAAGACTTAAAGGAAGACAAATAGTATAGTGATAGGGAGAGAAGGGGGCAGGAGAGAGGAAGGATGAAAATAGAAGATGGTAAAAAGAGACAAGGGAGAGATATAAAGGGGAACACATGAGAGTGAAAAAGGGGATATTGAGAAAAGGTAGAATGAATGTAGAATAGGAAAGAAAAGCAGAGAAAGAGCAGAGAAAGAGCAGGTAAGAGAGAGCGGTATAAAGATCACATGGCCAATGTGCAGCCAATTTCAGTTGCTCTCCCTCCTTCGTTTGATCCCTCTCTGTCCGTCTCCACGGCGATTAACGGCCGGGAGAGTTGTCACGGGAACAGCCGAGAGGGGGAATAACGAGGAGGAGGGACTTCGTCTGGACCAAGTGGAGCAGAGAGAGAGAGAGAGAGAGGGAGAGAGGGGAAGACCCCAAACCACAGCAGCACATAATTAAAATGGCTCCTCACACACACATTTCAACAAATCCAATAATGAACAGCCTCTGCCTCTCTCCACAGAGACACACAGTTCACCAGTTCCCTCAAACTGACTGACGCTGTCCATCATTAAGTTGTTTACCATGCATCATGTTTGTTTGTTTGTGTCTCAACATTAAAGGTTGTGGTCAATATATGTATTATATGAAGGCAGATGAAGTGCTAAAGGTGCTAAGAGCTGATACGTTGTTTGGATATTGGATCTATTGAAATGTAACCATCCCTGTGGTAAACAGAAATTATTCATTAAATGAATGTAATTTGATTAAGTATTTCCTCCGGAATTTAACTCCTTGAAGAGGGGGAAACATTTGAAGCAGAAGTAAGACTGTATTTAAACTCTCAAATAAAAAATTCAGGACAAAGACAAACATTAACTCTTCCTCATACAGTATATTAGTTTGGAAGCATTCCAACTCTTACACCTGAGTCAATACTTGTTGAATCAATCTGCAGACACCAGTTTAGATGACCCAATAATATAGGTAACGTATGACACAAAAATGCCATTGAGTCACTTGTTTTAGATTGTCAAATGAATGAGGATTTGCTGTTTTTTTCTGTTTTATTTTATTATAATTTCAGTATCTGGGTTCTAAAGAAAAGGATTCACCTTGGATGTCTTTCTGGGATCAAAAACATCAAAGAATCGAAAGGCAACGAACCAATACCTTTCAGTTTATTCCCACTTGAATGCTAAGTATAAGTCTTATTCTATCACCTATTTTAGATATGATGAATTAAAAAGCATATTATCCCCTACCATAAATGCTTTGAGCGGTATTTCTGTCCGGTCACACACACTTTCGCACAGATCTCCGAGCTCGTTGGCCAGTCTGCAGTCAGGAACTTTCATGGTGTTTTGGCCACATGGTGTTCACACAGACCTGCACCACATTCACCTGAAAACACAGACGAGTAGAATGTAACATTTGAGTTGCTTGTCTAGCTTGTCTGAATAAATTGATTAGAGTATTTACACACAGACTTTGAATTTATTAACTGCTCCTTTACCGCACTCACTAGTTCAAACAAATAAGAAACGTGAAATGTTCATAAAAAGAAAATGAATTGGGTAATAAAAACATGCTGTGAATGACTAATGTGGGTTCTCTGCTTCTGTAATCAATACATCACACACTCAATATGGAGGCTATTCAAACAGAACCGATTCTTCCTTCTTTATCAAATCAGATCGGCAAATCAGCATTGATGTGAAATTGTGTGTGTGTGTGTGTGTGTGTGTGTGTGTGTGTGTGTGTGTGTGTGTGTGTGTGTGTGTGTGTGTGTCAGAGTTGTCTGTAGCTCTTCCCTGCTGACTTCACCACCTGTTCCAGACAATGTCAACCAGACTCATATATCTCTCAACAGGAGTCACTGCACACACACACACACACACACACACACACACACACACACACACACACACACACACACACACACACACACACACACACACACACACACACACACACACACACACACACACACACACACACACACACACACACACACACACACACACACACACACACACACACACACACACACACACACACCAGGTAGTCACTCACAGCCCTGCATAAAATATGATAAGCAAGTTATTCACTAAGTTACAATTCATGAACAGGAAACCCGTCATACTCATTTAGAGTGAAAATGAATCCTAAAGTATTCTTTGATGGTCAGCATCAAGAGTGTAATAAAGCGTAAGGGTTGTAATTTATCCAACTACAAAATACACTATACCAAATGTTGTGATAGAATTTCACCGTATACTATATCTTGTATGGTGTGTTGTACTTTATCACATTCGTATGTTTAACTATAAATTAAAGTGTTATAATACATACTATGGTCAAATACTAAGTATCATTATGTAATAATTGTATACATTAGTCTGGTAGACTTTCTGACTTTAAACCACGGTCTCTTTAACCTTGTGATCTTTGTCTTAAATGGTATTGTTTTTACTTCATTTTACTTTCCTTTAATTCCTTGTTTACCTCTTAAATGTTATATTTCACTTCCTTCATTTATCTGTACTTCTTTTTGACCTTGCGCTGCACCAACAATAGAGTTTCCTTAGGGATCAATAAAAGCTTATCGTATCTGATCTTGAGGCTGTTAAATGCATTCAGCAGTTTTTAGATTTTCGACCATTAAACAAACTATGGTGCACTTTAAAAATGTCAGCTTGTAAAAAAAAGAAATTCTTTAAATTGGCCAAGGTTAGACATTTTAATTAAAGGGATTAAAGTAATACAAAACAAAAAAACAACAATGCTTGAAATCCAGTCTAACAAATCTGGAAAACATTACTAAACAGGTTTGTCCTACTCCTTTGTTTAAGTGTTTAGGAACTTTAAGGTGAGATAATAATCAAAATGGTAAATTATTTTAAATTTTTTTGAAATATAAATCTGTCAAAATATATTAAAGCCTACCTAATTGTTGCTGGATAGTAATGCGTAGATATTATTCTGCTAACTGTTTTCACATTATCAAGAAAATATATCATTTCTAATAAGGTAAGCCTTTGTTTAATCTGACAGTGCACATGTAAAGATGTTATACTATCAAACTGAAACTTTTAACATAAACATCAAAAACATGTATAGGATTTAAAATAGTTCAGAGCACATACACCATTAAGTTATAAAGGGATTTGTAATACAAAATAGATTCTAAAGAAGATTTGTAACATCTTAAAAAGATCTTACTGGATTGTGAAACTTTTTTAAAGGTTGTTTTTAATTACCACACAAGAAGAAGAAGAAAATAAACTTGAGGATAATCTTGGTTCTCTGGCTTTTATTGCTGACAGCTCCTAAATACATTTAGTCTACAACTTTCAAGAAAAGGCTGAAAATCGCCACAAAGTGACCTTGCTATTAAAGCTTCAGGTGGGCGGGCACCCAAAACCAAACAAAAAAAAACAAAAACATCCCTGCTTATCCATCCCCATCCATCTGCCTGCCTATTCGACACATCCATCCACCTATTCAACTCACACAAAAAGAGTCCAAGAAAAGGAGAGAAAGCTCATACAATAGACAAGTACGTGGCAAGCAGGAAATTGAATGTCAAGGAGCCTTGTTTGCTCCTGATGGAGGTTTTGGAGTTACCCTGAAGGGGACAGAACGACAGAGAGAAAAAGAGACGGAAAGGAAAGATAATAAAACACAGGAAGAGAGGAATAAAAAGGAGGATAGAGAAAGGGGAATATAGGGATAATAAAAGGCAGAGAGAATACAGATGCAGAGATACCAAGAAGAGGCCATCACACATGGGGGTCGGGGGGGATATGGGTGCGATCTACAGTTGGAGATGGCCTCTCTTAAGAAGCAGCTCATTTGTGGCTGAGAAATGACAGGGACACAGTGAGAAGGAAATGTGACTTTTTTAAAGAAAGGAGCTTTCACAATGTGGGTCTATGAGTGTGTGACAGTCTGGTTTCCACAGCTGGCTCTGTTAATCACACTCCAGGGGGATGCAGGTCTGACTGACTGACGTACATCCATCTCCTCACAGAGGAATGCTCACACACACATATATACATTCACACGAGGAGGAGACAGTCCCACTCAGACACTGGCATTCATAAAACGCTGATAAGCAATATAGAAAGCTCGGTAGAAAGAGAGTTGCTGTGCGAAGGAGAAGAGAGGGAGAAAAACAACAAAAAAAAGGGGAGAAAGACAGACGGACAGACAAAGACAGAGGGCAGGGGACATCAATTCAGTCAGCTCAAGTTTAAATGAAAAATGGCTTTAAGAGAGGAGGAGGGCTGCGAGTCTTGCTTTGTGTCCTGAGTACACACTGGAGAAGTAAATAAGTGCTGAAAAGCGAGTTGGAAGAGAAGCCAGCGAGCCTGGTCAATGCCTTTCGGTATAAATAGCCCAATTATCATGGCGGAGCTGTAGCTGGGCTCTCAGACGCAGCGTGGCAGAGCCGATCTAATTACTGGCTAACTTGACCAATTATTCCACTGTTTAACCAGGCAGAAACTAAATCGCAGCACCTGGTTATTTAGACACACCGGCTGCCCTGACAGTCTTCACGCCATAAGCTGTCATCTTCAGTCATTGTCAACCTCCTCCTCGTTCTCCTCAGAAACCCTTCTTCTCTTCTCATACTGCTAGGTGGACAGGGATGTAAACGGTTTGGATACATGTGCTTTTTTCTGAAAAGACCGTTAAATGTACTATAATCTATAATGGTAGTTTAAATGAAGGGCTTACATTCTATTTTAGATGTTTTAAATGCTTTACAGACATTAGAACTGCAACTATTAGTCGTTCATCAGTTAATAGACAGAAAAAGAAACGTAGACTGTAAGTAACTATTCATGCAAAATTGGCAGAAAATTCAGTTTTCAGATTTCCTGATTTCTGTTTTATATCATATTGAACTTAAAGGTAGGGTAGGTAAGTTTGAGAAACCGGCTCGAGATACACTTTTTGTTATATTCCATGGAATGCTCTTAACATCCCGATAGCAATGAATATCTTAAGTGCTTTGACAGAAAATCCATAAAAAAATATCATCTGTGGAAGCCGTAGTACTGTAAAAAGCACGACCAATCATTTTAGCCGGCCTGGCTAAAATAACTGGATGGCCTACCTGCCTGTCAGCCTTCCATCTGTGCACAAACTTATCTCGTGCCCTCATTGGTCATGTGCGCGTTCGTGTGTTGGAGGAGGGGCTCTATAAGGAAGTGGCAGATTTTCTCCGGTTGTGTATTTTCAAATTCTAGCGATCTCGAGCTGGTTTCTCAAACTTACCTACCTTTAACATCATTAGGTATTGGACATTGTTTTCCTGAATATGTAGTTTCCATCTTTTCAAGGCTTTTAACACATTTCGTTGTAATCCAACAAGCAGTGGTGAAAATATCCAAACAAATTGTTAGACTGACCAACAAACCGACTTTTATTTACTCCCCACTGGTGCTAATTATGATTATGATGACAGAAATACATTCTGTGTACAACCTAAGGTAAAGAATAACAGTAATGAAGAATCATTGCTGCTATATCACCACAATCATCATTTGTTTTGGTAATTAAGTTTCCAGGATAAGTACACACTAAAGCGCTTCCCGGTTAGTTCCTCAGACATCAAGATGGATCTGTCGTAAGCTCCCTCTCAACCCTCCAGGCAACGCAGAGTTAATATTGAGTTTATCTACCCAGATGATTTATTCATAATGCATCAATCTTTTTCTGCCTGTTTATGTGTTTGTTTATGGATTTACAGTGCTTTGCCATGCGTGAAATAGTTTTGAAAAGGGGGGGAAGAAATCTAATTAAATGAAATTCATTAAGTTATGGAACACTTGTTCGTTTACCTCCCAAAGTCTCACTTTCCTCGACACAGGCGGAGATCAGGGACACATGGACATATTCATACACTGACCTTATCAGACTGCACACACTCATATGACACTACAACACTGCAGCTGTAAGGTTTGAAATAGAAAATCAAAGTGTTTTTTCTTTCTCGCTGATAAATAAGCAATAGATCATTTGCATGGAAATTATTGAAATGTGCACATTGCATAGTTTTACTGACCTGAATTGAAGAGGCTCCTTTGAAATCTGATTTAATATTACTGTAATATATTTCACTCCAAATTCAAGATATGTCAGTCTAACATGACATTTTCTTTCAAGCCCCCTTACCACACATTTTCATGACAGCACATGGTTCAAAATCAAACAAATATTCTTTCTTGACATAATATGAGAAGGGTTGCCAGTCTATCCCCATACTAGCTGGACAATTGGTATTTATTACATACTGTATGT